TCCTTACTCGAAGTGTCCTGTACCGAGGGTCGGGTCGAAGCTTTTAGGATGATGCTGAGACGTGATACAAGATTGTGCAGTAGCCAGGGGGGAGAGAGTCTGTATTACTTTGCAGGGAGGGCACCGTCACAAGGGGTGACGAAGCAGTTCATTGAGACTATACGGGAACAATGTGATGGGCAACCTAGCAAGGGGAAGCTCGTCCCACAGGCAGGCGGGGCAGATAGAGATCTGCAGATGCCTGGGGAGGTAGACACTAGAAGAGAGGGTCGAAGCTACGAGTCAGAGTGGTCGGAGATAGCGAGCAAAGAGAAGTATTCCAAGGAGGTCGCTTCACTTCAGATTGAGGTTGAAAAATGGCGTGATAGAGCATTCGATGCAGCGCGTCAGAAACAGCAGCTACTGGATAGAGTAGCCCGTTTAGAGGCCCAGTTGAAGGCTAAGGAGGTTAACGAGGCTAAGTTAACCGCCACACCACGTGTGGGGCCTCCCGAGAGGAAGGATGACGAATACGAACGCCTGTGGAGGGATTCCAAGTTCGTTGATGCAGATAAGCCTCTGACTGGTGGTCCTGCGAATGAGCTCATAAGTTCACCGTTGCCTCCACCTGAGGGACGTAAAATGTTTCTAACTTGATCTGTAAAGCTGATAGTACTCGACTTGGTTAATTAGACATGGGGGGATCTGGCGTCTTCTGTAGCCATCCATCTATCATGTATCCCTCCATCAATGCCTTCAAATTGATGCTCATCGGCCTCATGGAGTCCATCACTACGGTACGGACTATCGCTTTATAAATGGAGTAGACACATCTCGTAGTTGCTTGTGGCAATCTTCCGCGCAATCCGAGGCATCGAGCCCAAGGCTTCCTCAGCTCTACAGCCTGAGCCTCCTGTTGGAGACAGCACGCCTATGGAGCAGGTCGTCGAGGCTAGAGATAAGGCATCTCAGCCTCGAGAACGCAAAGAGCGAATCAAGAGATGCATTTACTGTGGTCATAGAGTGAAGCGCGGTGATCACTCGAGATGCCGACCGCTAACTCGAGAGGAGCGACTACAGATCGAGCCTAAAGTGAAAGGAATCTATCATGCCTAGTAACGTCATCCTACCTTCTCAGGATAGTAGATCGACCGAACGATCTGTCGAGCTCGAGGCACTTCTCAAGGAAAAGATGCATGATGGTACTCAACCGCGGGATGATATATCGATTGTCGCTATTCTTGCAATATCAGTCCGTGACGTAATCACGATGCTAGAAGACTCTCTGGTGATCGTTAGAAATGAGAGACGCCGATTGCAACGAGTAAGGCAGGAGAATATCGATAATGATGATCTTATAAGTACGCTACCCATGGTACCAACAATCTCATGCTACATGTAGGTACCGTAGCTGATAGTGAGGACCTTCCGTTCCTCGCGCCTCTTTGATGAGTATTCCATGGCTTTGTTGATGTGTTCATGTCACTCGTTATCACCTACCAATTCATTGTGTGATTAATTCGCGAAGAGGGGTTCAGCAGCTGAACTTCAGCTCCTACTTGTCGTCCGACATAGGGTGAGGAGAACTCTCGGAGGAAGCAGCTCGAGATCTTACCTTCGTATGTTATGGATCCATAGTGTTGTTCGGTGATGCTTCCGCAGGATCAGGATTCGGAGAAAGCAATGCGATCATCGAGGGTCGATGATGAGCAGACCAACAGGATACGAATACGTGAGAACGCAGGTGTAGGGGAGCACGTATCATACCCCCGTGACGGGGTATGATACTGATATGATACCGGGGGCCCCGTCCAATCCTACAGGGTGAGATAATCCAGCAGAGAGGATTGAGGGGATATAGAAGCCTCGAGCTTGATCAGCCTCATCATGAGGTGACCGTTCCATCATGCGGTGTGGCGGTCGCAGTGGCCTCAAAGATACAGAAAGGGTGCTCAATCATTATAGTGTGATCCGAGTGGGATTATGTGGGACTACATTATAGTAGTGATTATGAATGGGAGATATACAGTGTGCTGTACACCGACAATGTCCTAATACTCTTGACCACAGCTCACTATCGCTCGTTTGCCAATAGGGAGCATGGCAGTGTTTGGCTGACGAGTCCTTTGGAGGTTCAATAGCGCTCGAGAGGAACCACGCAGCAAGCCTTAATGAGTAAGGATTGGATATTTGGAGGAGCTCGTTAAATAACACAGGTTGGACCTGTGTCGAATAAGACCTGTCAGGTCCTGTCCTGTCTTTCCGTCATTGAAGAAAAGTGCGCAGTAGGCAGAGTTGATCGATCTACTTATATAGATAATGGTCCATATCCATGCAGTATGTGGCTCTTCCTGATGTGGCGTATCGAGTTCGTATGTCGCGTTCCAAAGTTTCGGTTGAAGAGAAACGGCAATGTGCGCCAGACAACATCGATATGGAACCCACCATAATGGAGGCAACTCTCGGGTTGACGGACAACTTGGACACGGTCTTAACATGAGACTGCTGAACTATTTTAATGAGAACGTTCGAGACCCTCAAGTATTCATGTGACGTTCTCATAAACACAAGAGCCAACTGTACCCCTGAGGGGTCGTTTTCGTGAAGGTAATTGAGCTTACTGAGCGAAGAACACCCGATGTGTCCATCACCATGAGACCGCACAACGCGCACAATGCGACACGCATCTCCACATCATGGTTGGAGGATGTGCCCACTCCTGTTAGCCAGTCTGCTAGCAGTAGCATTATACCGAATGTCCGCTACATACTATTTGCTTCCTTGTTTGCCCGACTGTGCGGCCATACACAGATAAACAGTAGGTGACGCTGTCACCGTGACGGGCGTGAGAGTCCTGAGCGTTGCTCATGCGTGAAACAGTCGACTACAATTGGAGTCTTTCGTGGATTCTTGTGAGATTTACTTCTGCCAACCTTGTCGGTTGCAGCTTGGTATCATCTGACACCCGTACCTGTTCCTTGGATGTTGTTGCCAGTCACTTGCATCGAGTACCTCAAGTATCAATTCACGACCTGATCACTGCCTCCACTATTCTCGGGACGGTCCCGAGACTCGGGAGACCTTGTCTACAATTATCCGTGACGGAATTATCATATACGTCATGCATACTTCGCATCGCTTCGAGATTGGAGTAGAGTTCGAACATCTCTCGATTTGTTCCCCTTGGCAGCCCGCTCGTGATGATCTGCGTCTGCTGTGGAGTTCGCCAACTACACTGGGGAGCGAGGAGGGCCATCAGCCTCATCAGACCTCGACACTCGAATCGGATTTCCCAACGCGGTGTGAGAGAGCGATAGGAGGTTGCCCCAATTCACCGAAGCCCCCAGGTCTTCTACGGATACCATCGGCAACTAATAGCAGGGCTAAACTAACCATAAGAGATGATCAAATCCGCAAACCATATTGCTTAGTTAACTACCCTATGATCGTCGTCTCGATCTGGACCATCCTACTATTGTCGGTTACGTCTTCAGGCGTGACCCACGAAAATGAGGACATCCCCCTTAATGAATGGCCGATGCTCATGTAAGTGGCGATGATCATTGCTGTCAGCATCTCGAGTCACCTCAGGAGTCACGATTCTGGTACCGGCTATATATCCAAATTGAATCCATTTTGGAAGATAGCCAAAGTACAAGAAGGGGGCTTTGCTAAGCAGCTTGATTGCGGTGTGCGAGCATTCGATCTGCGTTTCTTATGCAACACAGCAGGGCTGTATATGCATCATGGCATTCTACCCATTATTCACAGCTTCACTGATGCTTTGAAGGAAGTCAAAACATGGGCTAGTGCACATCCACAAGAGTTGATATTGCTTATAAACAGCCACTATTCTCCCAATGATGATCATTGTAGAGCGAAGGTATGGCAGGCCATGGCCAGTCTTGGTCTTATGACTCCTATTGGATCGGACGGCTCATGTGATAAGTTGCAAGGTCTCTCAGTCAGACAAGCTAAGGCCAAGTCTAAACTTGAAGAAGGTAACCCATCTCGCTCAGAGCACGTGATTTTCTGATTGTACATCAGGTGGAAACATCTTCGTTGTCGAAGGTGAAGGTAAGTGCCTCGACGCAAACTGGAACCCTAAGCTGACATGCTATCGCCAGAATGGAGACTGCCGTAGAGGCTCACCTGGTAGCGACGTGATCAACAAGGAGATGCTCAGCTACATCAATGAAACTGCCTCTCACAAACCGACGTCTAACCATCTGGCTACGATCCAGGCACTTTGGCAGTATGATGTCGACTCTGTAGGAAGGATGCTCGCTGACGGGTCGAATATCCTCAAGGATTCGCAACTCAGCGGCCTCCACGAGGAACTCGTTGATGTTATCCCACAGCTGAAGTATGTTAATCTCCTTGAAGTCGACGATGCCTGCTTTGGCGGGACGGAGTTGTTAGAAGCATTGCGGACACGCAGAAGTCGGTAACTACTGCAGCCAACTCTGCAGCCTGAATAGCAAGGCCTGAATAGGGTTGTAATTCTATCAACATGATTATTATATCATCATTTAGTGCTCACTACGATATATTATATTGTTCGATATCATGAGCATATTGAACAGGAGGGTAGATAGGTATAACGGATCAAAACATATGGTGACCGCGTCCGATCCATCAGCTTTATTATTTTTATGTTTGGGTTGATTGTTCGCATATAACATATTCTCATATGTTGGATAACATGCAACTCGGCTAACAACACGGCGACCTTTCTTGGGCTTTCTTATGCCACTTATTGCTTCACCCGTTCGGTTGGGTTGACAGTTTTTGGATCAGCACTGATGGTGAGTAGTCTCGTTCAATGGATGAGTAAAGTTCTGAGCTCCGTTTTGCTAGCCTATATCGTTTTACGCTCCGACTGAATTCAAGTACTTCAACCTGCTGCGACTCGAAAAATCGGACGACCCCCCGAGAAGTTTCCGCTTGGTTTCGAATTTGCACTAAGTCCCTTATGCTCCATTCAAGAAACCCAGCATCTCCTAGGCATCTCCATTGGAGAAGGCCACTGACACTCCTTATACAACTGTTTCCCGCGCCTCCGACTTGTGTCGTATGCACTCCAAAATGGAAGGGCTCAGACCCAAGGTCCATTTGGGAGCGCGAGACTTGCTCACTTCACCTTCAGTGGTGATGACATTCGTTCGCCAAATTCCCCGGCATTTATGCTCGTAAGGATGACACGCTATGCTTGACACTTGAAAAGTTCCTAACAGTTTACGTTAATGACACTCTAAGAATAATCGAAGGAAACAGTCGAAGAAAGACCCCATCAAGCACTAATCAAAATATGGAATCCCCATCGGCCTCGTCACTACTGTGCATGTTCTACCGAATCAATCACCCTTTTATTGAGCTCTCAGACTAAACGAACAGAGGAAAGCTGCAATAAATGATGCTTGATAACATATTACAAGACGAATTGGTGCGACAATGGTAGGTCGATGCTTATATAATGCTACCATCAGAGACGATCTACTCAGTCTTCACCTGTTGTTGTTGTTGTTGCTGACCACCAAACTCCCTATCAAATGATGCTTTGGCTTGTCTCAAAAGGTGCTCAAACAGGCCACTTGGCACAGAGGACATTCGGCCGTCTTCATCAACGTAAGCCTCCCTATACTCCGATTTAGGAGATAGTAAACTTGTTGTGGTATGACTACGGTTAGGTCCGGGTGAGCCGCATTTGCCAGCATGCCATTCTGAAGCTACTGTATAGAGAGTAAATGGCACAGTAGCGATGGCTGGACCTAGAATCACACCACGGGCGCCGAACCAGCTGACTCCAAGGCCGACAGCCACCGCAGACATCCACGGGTTGGCATCTGGTATTTCCGAATAAATAGCCGGACCGACATACCACCACACGAGGAAGTTCAATATCGCCGCTATGGCACCACAAACCTGCGCCATACCTCTATCATAGGAGAGGAAGATGTATGGTACGATGAGGAAGGAGACTGAGCAAGGGGATATCTGAGCAAGAGTTAACGATGGTGTGGTATTAATGGGCACCTACGACCGGAAGTAGACCGATAACGAAGGCGACACAGGCCGGGATATAGGCCACCGGGCAATCGAATACCTGCAACCCCAACGATATCATCACAGTATGCACCAGAGAAGCTATTACCGAGAAGACAAGCCATGTGTAAACTGCGTGGAATATGGACATTTTAATAGCGCTATAAAGTATAGCCTTTAGGGCTCTACGGAGGATATTATAGAGGTAGAAAGAGGGATCGATAACTTGTAACACCTGAGATATCAAAGACGGTGATGTTAAGCTCAACTACCACACGTTCGAGGCTACATCCGCCCAGATACATGAACTATAGGTACACCTACGAGGAAGCGTACATGACGCCCTATGACTCTGGGACTATCCACTAGACTGTACATAGACCTGTGAGTACTCGGCTCTACTAATACTATCAATATCCCTAGTCCTCTATAATCCACAGACCATCATCCCTTACTGTAGCCATGTAGTCATGGAGACCTCCTTGTTCAGACTGCAGGAGATAGTATAGAGCTGTGACAGCGAAGAAGAAGTGGAAGAGCGATTCCACTAGGGTACCGATGATACCAGTCACTACGCTCACCGAGAACTGTATGCCAGCCTGATGATGATGCACCAATATACATACAAATGATCTGGATATTACTAGCGAGGCATGTCCAGAGGCCGCTAGCAGGTCCATAAGGAGTCCTCCCACCAACGTAGCAGCGCCACTGCTCTGTACTGAATCTTTCACGCCTCGATCAATGGAGGCATCGTAGGCACCAGCATCATAGTACTGCCTCACCTGAAGTAGCAAGAGGTATTCGACTTGAGAGCATAGGCTTATGACCTCCTTATAAGCCGAGAGCAGCATTGATGGTGATGTTACTAGATCCTTCAGATTCCAGGCTTGTAGTAAGCGGGCGACCTCAGTGGTATTACCCAGCGGCACGGTCGTCAGGTGATCCTTCATACCGATGGTATACATATCAGCAAAGATGTCTTCAACCCCTCGTGCGTGAGCACATCTACGAAAGGTGTCTTCGCACCGCAGGAACACTTCATCCCCTATCAATGGTGACACCTCTGTTAAAGAGGTATTCACTGACCCACCCGAGAGCACCTAAACAGGGCGTTGTTGTACATGTGGCAGAGAAGATGATGCATAATCAAGTAACAGCACTAAATATCAACTCTTCTCATGCCTAAGACTGGTTGGCTAGACCCGATATACGCATGAATCCAGCCCTCTCCTAGAGCAACGCCCAAGTGGTAGGAAATAATAACACCTATTCCAAGGCGTACTACTACCATGTCTATATAGTTATATAGATCCCTGGTTTTGGTGGTTACAGAGTCCGTCTCGATAAAGTGTGACACCGCATCGCTTGCTGCTGAGTAGGCTAGCTCTGCATACTGTTTGTATGGGTGTAAGGCCTGCATCTCCAACAAACTTCGCGCGCCACGAAATAGGCTACCAATGGCATCCCAGAGAAAGGCAAACTCGAGGGATATGTTGTAGCCGATATAAGCGGCCAGGATAGTACCCAGGACCGAGAACAGGACCATCACACTTGTAGCCGAGATGAAGTCTGCATTAGACTTGATGAATTTACTGCATATCCTACCACACCATGCGCACATCATCGAGAAGCCATCATAGGTAGCCGTAAAAAGACGCTGACTAGCGAGGCGTAGTGCACTAGGATTGCCTTCATCTACCATCAGTGGGAGTTCGTCGTTACTATCGGGCTCCGATAACGGTGGCTCGGATGAAGACCCCTCATCTTGTGACGACTCAGCGGCTCGAATCTAAGCCAAGACATACGGATCGTAGTCTACAATATCTATTCTGCGATGGATCTCAACTACACGCTCCTTATGCTGAAGGACTTTGTTCAGCCTACAGGACTCTAATGACGGAAATTACTGATTTCATTAACGGTGTATTCGAAGTAAGTTCGTCGCCATATTACACTCTAATGTAGCAGTGAGTGAAGAAATTTTCCATTCCTAGCACCATGACTAGAAGCCTTTATTACGTCATCATCCTCATCGTCGGAACGCTCTCTAGATGTATCCATAACGGTAGGTGTATTACCAACCTCACTGACCCTCCTGGACCAACTTCGCGATCGACTTCGCCGTCTACTCCCAGGCACACTACTCCTCCCTCTACGTCTCTTATGGAGATACAGGAACACTTTACCGAGACCGCATAGCCATCGTACCAGCAATGTTAATACTGCAATGATGAGAGTGTACCGCAGTATACCGCCATATACTGCTGGGAAGGCCCAAGCAAACTTCCAAAAGTACAGATATAATATTACCGCGCGCCACAAAATTCTGAAATACAGACTGCTGCCACCGTCATCCCTGGGTAGAAGTATGTACACCACACATCGATAGACGAGAGTGGTAGCATCAATAGCTTGCCGGAGAGACATCTTCAAGATAGCATGCATTGGACTCAGTGGTGGGTCAGGAGCACGTCGCTTATGCAGCACATCTGCCTCCTGGAAGCAACAAAGGCGTCTCTACTTACACTTTTATAGATATTACTGGTGACTGGTGTAGAAAATATAATATAAAGAAATCATATAAAGATATCTAATATTACATATTTTACAGATGTTATTAAGAAACCAAGATATGTTGGATTCTACTATCAACGGCTTGAAGTAATTCCTGGTCGTAGGATATACCAAAACTTATAGACTTTTCCTCAACCACCCGAAGGTCCCCCCAACGACGAGCTACATATGTTCAAACCTACCGCCTCAGCTTGAAATCCTGATATACGTCGATACACACGTACCCCAAAGACTATACACGTATGGCTGATCGAGATTCTCACGTCTATGCTACACTGATAATGATGGCCTATCCAAACCTAAGCTGATGCACTTTGAGGTTTGTGTTATCTATACGGGTCACTATTCGTCACATATGCACCAAACAAGAGACTCCTCCTACCTGTATAGTCTCATCACCTCCTTGTCCAGGCGAACTGGCCCTGATGTCCTCTTGACATGGCGAACCACTAGATTCAGACCTCCGGTCAAAGCTCCACTCCCGCGCTTCCCGTACCGCACTTGCTTGAGGTATGTGGAACACAGTCAATAAGGCACTCTTGATAAGCTGCTTTGGTGGGTACAATAGTAGGTAGGCCACAATGACCCAGAATAACGTCTGTAGGAAGGGGTAGAGCAACACGTAATTGAGGCCCAACAGAGCAGTTACACCAATGCATAGTAGTATGACTAAATACGCCCGTACCCACATAGATGGTTGCTGTGCTGATGACGCCTTACTCGACTCGCAAACAATACGACCTAGATGCCTCTCCAAACGAACCTCATGATCATACAGAGCCTCCGTGAAAGCATGAACCAGTTTCATGTCATGTTGATACCGCTCCTTCTCGAAGATGGGGCTATCATCACCTCCCTGCACCGTGGAAGGATTAGACATGCAACTACCATACTAAGGTAGTAGTAGCACCACAACATTCCGTAGCCCAAATCTATAGCCACACTCACTGACTGCTGCGATAGTGACTGAGTAACGCAAGACACTAATGTAATAGGAAAAGTCTGAACACTATAAACAGTTTTGAAAAAACTCTGAGGATCTTCGTTACTATACTCTACCTCTATAAGAAACTATTCATTTACAGTTTACCACCGTGAGCACCATCACCAGGGGCCACAGCAATGGTATCACATTTGATGCCGCTAGCCTTCTCATACAACTGGGCCACTTCCTTGCAGAAGTCATCCACCTTATCAGCCTTCACTAGATTGATAGTGCAACCACCGAAACCACCTCCCATAAGACGAGCTCCTAGGAAGCCAGGACAACCCTGCGCCTGGTCAAACATGATATCCAACTCCTTGCAGGAGTTCCCAAAGTCATCTCTACTCGACACATGAGAGGCATTCATGAGTTGCCCAAACTTCTCCATATCATTTTTAGATATCGCATCCATAGCCTCGGCAACACGTGTGTTCTCACCTAGAAATGAACTTTTAAAACTAACAGATCATCCACGTCAACTCACCAATAACATGATTCGCCCTCTTCCTGTCATCTTCGGTTAGAGTAGACTTCTTCGCCTCGTAGGTGTCCGCATCTATGTCCCTCAAAAATGGCACACCGAGCGCCTTAGCAGCACCAAAGCAGCACTTCCTCAACTCATTGTACTTTCCGTCCACAAGCTGATGAGGAGCATGAGTATTGCACAGAACGAAGCGAACATCATCTAAGAAGCGGCATATACCATAGTAGAGGCATTCTCATTGTTGAACTCACTCTGTAGAGGAACGTAATCACAACTGTTATCACGGCAATCCAGATGGACTAGTTGGCCACTCTTCGCAAAAGCCGAGGTATATTGATCCAGTATACCACAACCCATACCAACAAAGTTGTTCCTAAAGAGAAGAAACTAAGAGCATGGACATCATAAAAACTGCTTACTCAGCACTCTTGCATGCTAACACCACCTCGAGGAGCTTAGCCTTATACAGTTTACTATCAGGACCATCCAGCTCTCTAATGAGATTAGCAGTAGCCAACTCAATTGCAGCAGATGAAGACACGCCAGCCCCTAAAGAGTGGGAAATGTTCAATCTACTATATCGTCCAGAATGCCTCCTACCCACTGGCACGTTGGAGTAGATAGAGGCCTGGAAAGCAGGTACTCCATAGCTAGCTTTTCTCAACTCTACTATGACACCCTTCGAGTAGTTTGCCCAGGAATCCTCTCCCTCATACTTGGTCTCATCGTTAATATCAAACTCTACCACATTCGCAAAGGCACTGCTATGAAGACGCACTTTATCATCAGGGGACTTGCCACCAACAACAACCGTATAACGATCGATAGCAGCCGATAAGACAAAACCCTCATTATAGTCGGTGTGGTTACCAAGGATCTCAATACGACCTAACAACACAGGAAATACAAGGTTGATAATATATTACCCCAACCTACCAGGGGCAGCACCAAAAGCAGCCGGCTCAGCCCCAAACTTCTGTCGGTAATCCTTCACAGCATCGGCTACTAGTGAGGCAGCAGGCGTATTGAGAGTACTGGTCATCACTATATGATCAACAATGAAATCAACTACAATGTGCCATCCTAGAGAGCCGAGGAGAAAAACGATACAACCACTAACGCTAGTGCATCCAGCATGGATGGGACAGTTCACGACACTCCTCGAAGATATCACAGCAACGAAGCAGTGATGATAAAAATTCTACTCCAAGCCATATGAAATAACGCTTTACTGTTATCGTAGAAACCGTTCCTTCTCAAACTAAGATCATCACCGTCATCCGAATCGGATCACGCTTTTAGGAGACACCCAATAGAGATCAGGAAACGCCATATACATGGTCTATAGCAGGCCAGAAGAAATCCTAAGCAATCTTGTGTGGCACTATATGGACAGTAATGTTGGATCAACAACATACATTCATATTGATCCTAGTTCACCACAGACGCCATTGCTTTCTACCAATCGATGAGCTAATCAAATGAAGCATCAGTGATATTCTATTTGGAGTTACTATTCAACTCTAATACCACCATCGATTCTGTGTTACTCATATACACCTACTACTACTGAACAACTACGCCTATCCACTTGCCAAACATGTCCACCGTATATTCATGTCAAACCGCTCTACCACTCCAAGAGGGATTCCCAAACTAAACTGTAAGTTCAACCATCCGTAAAACAATACGTCAGTTCAGCTCGCCGTCCCCTCAAGTTCACCCGAGATAGTGACACTACTGGGCGTATAGTAAGCAGCACGCCTGCCCACCCACGACGTTACATCGAGCTCAACCATGATTGAACCAACACAACCACATCACTATCGTCGCAAGTCAACACTACAGAGAAAATCTACTACTCTTTCCCTTATAGTGTTGATGCAGTTATATATACGTCACCTCTCGTAGTACTACTTCTACGCAGCAGCGCTATTGCTAACTGCGTGCATCAAGGTTATATTATCGCCTTTCAAGAGGATCCTTCCCACTGGTCTACGAGTATCCTTCTTAGTGTTGACCTGACGAATCACAATACGACCAGGCCACTACGACAATACCATAATAGCAACCATAAGCCACAGTAATAAAGGTAACTGGCGTAGTGAATACCCCAATACATGAACCATAAAGTGTCACTAAACTACTCTAGTCTCATACGCACGATAATTCTTGTCATGTTCCAAAAAGGATCCAAGTTCAACGATCCCAAATTGCCATATCCCCGATCACAGAGATTAGCCCCCTTATGACCTCCTCAGCGTCATCTAATACAACATTCATATACTCATCAAAGCCCAATATGACCCCCTCCATACGGAGATCCTTATGATCATATCTAAACACACCATAGACACCACATAGGCCGCCGCCATAGCCATTATTACAACCATACGACAATCCTAGTCTTCTCAGTGAGGTACCTGATAAAGCTGTCGCTAGTCTACCTTACCTCTATCGCCCTCCTCACCTGAAGATCAGGTTGATTGGCATGGTCATAATCTTCTGCAACTTCCTTTTGGACATCATCTTGGCGACAACGGGGTGGTGACAACAACAACAAAAGGAAACTTCAGTCAATTCATCACTTCATTCAACCCTCTCAAATCGATCAGCGCATTTACAATCTCGCTCGCCCTAAAATTGATGAAAGCCATCAACTCCAACACAACACAACACTACTGAGAGAGTCCTATGATATGACAGAGAAAAAATTACACTGTTGCTGACCTTATACGATGACTGCTGACGAAGATGAAAATGACTAGCAATATTTGCAGTATTCTCAACAGGATAATAGTACTGATAAAAAAGATTCTGAATATGGTTGAATTGGTAGTAGTAGTAGTATCATCATCAATCATCTTCAGGGGTGCTCAGACTCCACACCTCTACGTCCTGTATCACAAAGTCTTCACTCGATGCCAGTGGCCCCGAGTTGTAGGTCAAACAGTGTCCAGTAGATCCCTAAAACAGTACCACACCAATGTCAACTTATACTAGTTCGTTACTATACACACCCTATGACGTGATAACAGCCACAAGATACTAGGTTCCCCAAACAATGGGTCCAATCAAAGTCACGCGACCAACGGAAGGAGTTTCGTCAACAACTTTGAGCTCATGTAACTCCTTAAAAAATACCCTACTTAGATAGACGGAAATTCCGAATGCTTCATCGCTCATGTCGTGGGGCTACCACACGATATGATTTTTCCTCACCAAACTGACCATCTCAAGATCCTGATTAACCCAATATACCTTCTCGGTCAATTTACCCAACTTTGAGACTACCAAATTGAGCCGCCCGAAATCAAAGTCATTTTCAGCCCCACCACCAACCGGATGAGCTCTCGCGATCTCAACGCTCGAAAAGCAGAGAAATACAATGTCGTTTCAGGTAGAGTTTTTCACGCTTCCATATTAGAGAGTTCACACTTGTTCACTGTTGTTGGCACACTCATTGACCAGCAGTAATAAGAAGGCTTGCAAGACCATTGCATAGTATTACTCTCAGCCAGGAATCGTATATGCATATGGCACTATGGCCAGACCTTCCTCCACCTCCTATCACTAGGCGACGTTCATCACCATACTGAAGAAGGTGACAAGATAGGAACCTTCACGCGCCACGAAATAGAGATCTTACTTGGAAGAACTCGTTCTTGCTACTCCAGGGGTATACTGTTATATCCCCTTTATCATACCCGTGCTTGCCAAAGGTGAAGACCCAACTTTCACCTAAAACAACCGTCACTGCGCCACAAAATTATCCATCACCCAACGTTAATACCATTCCCACAGAACTTTCCAGACTTCCTCCACTGAGCCATACAAAGGGCCCCGAACACCGTCCCCTCCGTGTCTCTGATCAGCAGGACAGAAGGGCAAGGCATACGCTCCATGTGCCTAACAACACTTCCTCATCAAAACGTCACGCGCCACGAAATTACCTATAGAAGTTATCCAATGATATACCATGGACCTTGGGCGAATACGATAGCGTCCATTGCTGAGGAGGTATACAATTACCAAGCTAAGCAGTCCTTTCACCATCCTACCGTAAACCGCAACATAATAGGGAGGTGATCCGAGAGAGTAGCTGCTGCCCTTCTTGTAAGCAACCAGGGATCCTTAATTTGGAGGTGACTAAAGCCAGTGGAGCCACTACTAGCCGGTTTGCGAGAATAGGGATATGCCAGTTGTGTCTATCGAGAAATTCAACCACCCCCCCCATGTTGCCACACTAGACAGTGCGTCTTCTATTATTATCATCACAGAGGTCCATCTTAACACGATCACAGTAGAGAGTTCACCTTCCATGAATATATACGTAACGTAATATGATACTAACCATCGATCGCTTCATTCAGGTGGTGGTTAAAAGCCTAAATTCATCCTTTTTTCTCAAAAACATGGCACGAGCCTTACAGCAGTAAATGCTTATAGTAAATATTCACACGAATGCTAGTCGAGCAACTCCTACACCCACCGCTGTCGACCTTCCCCACAGTCCATAGTGTTACTACTTCTGCATGTACTGCAAGGCACTCTCATCATCCACAGGTATAGTCAACAGAGGCGCCGCTATCTCATCATCCTCCTCCTCCCCCTCAGATGATGATCCCTGTATATCACTGATAGCCACCACCGACACCTAAGACTCAACTGACCGCGGTAATACTAGTCACCATTCTCACCCTCGATGCTGATGGAGGGATACCACTCTTTGATGAATCCTCAGCATTCCTACCTGAACACGGACAATATTCCATCACTACGAGTGGTCAGTGGCTACTACCAGTATCACCACCAAGACCCATCTTAGCGAGTCCTTCCACAACAGCACTGCAGCTGAAGGGCACCTCCGTCAACGTACTGATCTCTGTTGGGCTTCCGTCCACTAACCAAAGGCATCCATATCTCAACTCCACGAAGGCAATTCAAAAATGCCATCCACAACAGTCTTAGCGGCCCCCCTACCTCGTCGGTCCTCAGCTATATCATCGATAATATCAATAAGTCTATGGGCCACCTTATACAGCTTCTCTCGACTTGGGAACTGTACGGATATGACTACCGAGGCCAATATTGCTGCTGTTAGCACATACTTGGAAAACGACAACATTATCATCCGAAATTGACAATGCTGGATTCTCCTTATCAGCGGAAGCCATAGATCCTATTGATCCTATCTTATGCTTCCGTCGCCCATGCAGTGTACTCAACTGCAACTGCAGAAAATGAGCCGCGTATTCATCCGGATCGGTCTCGCCATAGTGACCAAACGTTCCTAAAATTCATAATACCACTCCAGCCACAACATGTCATGATGATGGTACTACCCTGGGGGACAGATTCCCCTTCGAGTTCGCTAGTCGGTACAGTAACAGCTCCACACTCCACAAGGTCTCTCAGATCAATATACACCTACACAGCCAATCTAGCCGAGCGGTAGAGCGACCAGCACTATGCTCACTTGATAAGCCCCCATCCCGTCCGTCCGCACACGTTCGAACCGAGGATCCGGCTCAAAATGCAACGTAGAAGCACTTTCTGATATCGTCAGCAGACCAGGTGCCTAAACATACATCCTCACAACAACTACACTGCAACCATCGCTCCACCTTCACATCTGGCGTGCAGAACCACGCGTGCTCCCTCATGAAAACACAAGGCGACGCTATATCAATGCTCTCGGTATGGGGACCTAACAATAGACAGTGGCCAAGCAAATACATTTATGAATAAACCTGATATCTCTCAAAAATATAGATATATACTGATAATACAGACGACGCAGTATTTATCATGTTATACACTTATTATTCCAACATGTTCATATTCTACCTTATTATATGTATTATTAAGCCTTAACTATTACCTCTTTCTTCGACCACAGCCTCAGGAGTCCCTACTTGAACTGCTTCATCGGTCGCCATAACGCGTTATCGACTATGTTAAAACAACTTGATAAAAAACTACAAGGAGGAGGAAGAAAGTCGGATCTGAAAACACCATAACCCAACAAGGTCTACCTCAACAATATAGAGGCTCCCACCACACCAACCCGACACATACCAAGTGAAACTGAGAGCGCTCATGAATGACGACTTCAAAAATCTCCAACTGTTGCTGAGTTTTGCAACACGTGGCGCTTCCCAGTAGTATCAGACCTTGCTGTAAAGTCAGAGCAGATTACCGAGGATACCCGTGATACTGCAATTCTGAGTATCCCTCTGGGTTCTCCTGACTTCTTATCACACCCTTGTGTCGACCCAACGATCTTCTCTAAATCAATCCACACAGGCTCTGTGTAGGGCCAAGGATCCAACACTAACACGCTACCGGTCTCCTCGTGATACCCTCCAATAGGCGCAAAATGCCCTCCCCAAGGGACCTGCCCAGCCGCAGTCATATCATAATTCAGAATCAACAAATCTTCGCTGTGCGCAAGAAGATTCTCCAACTCTGTCACACTACGCGGTCTCGCAATCACCGTATCCCATCCCATTCGACGGCAACTGTCGTGTAACTGGACCAGTGTCATCCCTTCCCTCATCAGAGTATCTTTGCGCACAGCGAAGATTCCCTCATCCAGCATAGCCTCATCACTGAGCATCCTACCACTGACAGAAGCTAACACCATAGCCATCGACGCTACACCACACGTAGCGTTGGTCTGCTGCCGTCTGTATTGAGTGATGCCACTTCGGCTGCTCGCGAGTAATCTCCTCAAACCCTCTTCAGACCGTAGCAGACACAATTGCTGTTCGTATCTGCCACACAATTATAAAAATACCATAAATAACTATACCAACTTTGGGTGAACTCCTAGCGCCTCCTCCCTGGACATGTGCTTTCGTCTCATTAACCCATAGATACATTGCTGCTCCTGCTCAGCCGGGAACTCCTCAGCGAAGAGGAACTGCAATCCTTCTATATCAGAAGGCGGCATCCTAGGGAAAACCCCAAACTCGTGTTTTCGAAATCGAAAATCATCCCACACCAAATCCTCAACAGTTGATGGAAGTACGGGGACAAGCACTCCTCGTTGAACACAACGCATACCATAATGCAAGGAGAACCTCCCTTACTAAGTCAGACACGAGCAAAGAAGGACAATGGACGACCGTCCACTAGCAGATAATACCGACTATAGCACCACCACCACCACCACCATCTAAACCGGCGGCGGCGACGGCGCCTCATACCAGAGCACTATGGCTCAAACGAAACGAACTTCGACACAACCGTAACACGGGAGGAGGCCGAGACTATCTCGGTGTTCACCACCACCGCAGTACGGCCGATCGAGATAAGGATGCTAAGACGGCTCGAAAGATGTGTTGACCGTTGGCAATAGTATAGTGCTATGGCTGAGCCACAGTACTGGACCGGAAAGATAAAGGGAGACTAGCTCTATTGGGAGACTACCAATACATCTACTGTGACGGTGGCAACAACACCGCTGCCAGGGATAGAACCAACGACCTTATGGTTACTGGGAGAGCACGGTTGAGCTATCTACCGCTCCACCAAAATTCCACTAACAGCAATGATGTTGCGAGAACAAAAGCAGTATCAGAAATGGCAGACCCTCTGAAGGCCCGCCTAATGCGATTGCCTATACAGCTACCAACAGAGCATCGTCTCCACAAAAGACCAACAAGCCATAAAAGGAAACCATCCAGGCCTAATAGTGACAGCACTACCCGACCTATGACCAGTAAGTAACTATTCACAACAAGAGTAACCACGCCCACTATCAAACGTGGTAGAAAGAAGAAGAAGGCCTCACTGAGAGTTACAATAACAATAACCATCACCAATATCTCTACGGCATTCACACTATCAACTGCTACTTACTCCACTACAAGATGACACTAATTCACTTCACTCCCAGCAGACGTACCTACAAAATCGATCACCAGGGCGAGCGCTATTGCAACAGACCCTACTCGCATCACTACGAAGTCGTTGCCTGACGCTATCATCGCTTCCAGCGTAACGACTAGGTACGAGCCTCTTCACAGCGTCTCTTCTGAGAGCCGTTGCTTCCTCTGGGCACATGACGTAGGTCTTATGAGCCTCCTCAGCGACAATACGAGGGAGCACAGCACTGAGCTTCGACAACTGCTTGGATAAGTCTTCCACTGAGGGAATCTACAACAACAACAACATAATTAACGTCTACACCACTCCTAGGTCCCACTGATTTCATCTTCACACACTTCACGTAGCTCTGGGGTATAAGCCTCGACAGCAGCCTCGCCGGATTGAGGTCGCATCTACTGTTGCCGATCAATACCTACACCAACACCATCACGACTCAGTACGCACTGAACGACCAACTCACCAAGCTAACGTACTCAGCATTGGTATGGCCACCACCATTACGAGAGCTCAACGCCCGAGCCATGGACCGAGCCTTACTCGCCAAACCAGTAGTGCTCTTTACCTCGACCTTAGGGTTGCTACCATCAATGAGTGGTAGAATGCCAGAGGCGGATCTACAACAACTTCTCATCATCAACAACAAAGAGGTCCTCGCATACAAACCTCAACCTACTACCTCCTAGCACATTTATACACCCATGCTGGGTTCGCGGCCGTTACTATATGGACCTTGTTGCCATTGCTCATCGACACTGCATCCCGTAGGACCTTTTCAGCGGCTTCCAAGCAGGACCTAATAATGGTACTCTACTTCACAAACTTCCATTTCTCATCACATGGATCACCGCCATGTTATAAATTGCGGAAATCCTGCCTACACCTCGTATTGGAAACGACAGGAAACAAGATGCTATATAATAGGTTCTATCATAAAACAACGAAGATGATATGTCAGTCTAGCAATACACTTATATCAACGCTAAAAGGTTAGTACTGATTTCTCTCACAGTAACTTATCAACCGAAAATTCAGGAAAAATTTCCATATCAACTATGTAGTACCACATGCGAGTTCCACAACTTCACCTAATTGCTTCTACGGAAAGAACTTACAGTAATTCGGCCTCACGTTCGACACCAGCATGGCCAGTCATGGCGCCCAGGAAGGCTGTAGTGGGGAATAATGTATCATCCCAGTCAAAAATAAATAGGGATTTATGCTTCCCTATAGGGGGCTCAGTACCATCACTACTACTACCATCACTATCCTCCTCGCTGTGAGAGGGAGTACTCATCACAGCAGCTGTAGACGGCATTATAAATATAGACTGATAAATCAATGGCGCTACGCCAAACCCAACACCAGGGCATGGGAAACACGATGTGAATAGATGCCCATGTTCCTATTAACCCAACAATAAGCTACCTCTCCGCTTCGACTTGGAGTCTCCCGATAACTACCAACAGCTCATCACCAAAGCATATTCATCAACAGCTACATTAAATCCCACATCAACCTCCCTAAGTTCCCGGAATGCTGGTATCAATAACTGGGGATTTAACTCTGCCAATTCTGTGAACTTTTCCAGAGATATTTTAGCACCAGAAGGAAGATTGATTTCACCATAGAGGACCTCAGCTCGCCGCTCCAACCATGCTTCAGAAATGTCACCTACGTCAACATCGATCAGCCGAAACTCAATTAACTGTTACCACACCTTCGTGAACTCACAGACGCCCACCACAATTCCACCGTTTGACATTACCTGGCGAATTAACTCTTAGAATCTTGATAAGCTCAGCCTTGTCAATATAGCCACTGCCATCTTCATCGAACATCATGAAGGCGAACCTCAGCCTGTCCTTCGGAGTAGCATCAGTATGCGTTGATAACCCCACTGAAGAGTCGACTATAACAATATCAACATATAATTATATAATATAATATATAGTTAATAGTATAATTTAGTATAATATAATAATCACAAACTACCATATCAATGGAGTTTCACCCGTTTTACGCGAAGTGAAATGTGAAATGGGTTTTTCACTAGTGTTTTTCACATCACTAGGGTGAAACTCCAATATTATAAATTACTAGATAACATATAATATATACACCATATATAAGTAATCTTATAATAACATGTATAAGACATCCAACTGGCAAGATAGATTTAAAACTACAAGTACTGCTACTGTTATTACTACTACGCTTATAAGAATCGTCATCAACTTCAAAAAATCATCAACGAAAAGCTCCATCTTCCTCGATGAATTACTCAGTGGGCAAGCGGCCTCTATATTCCAACTCGAATGACGATTTCAAGTCCACTATCACAAATTCTAGCACAAGTCAAATATATCACAAAATATAAGATTCTAGCAATATATTCTAGAAATATATCACAAGTATAGCACTATCACAAATATAGCAAACGCTCATCTATAGTAGCCGAACTGCTGTATACCAATACTCTCGAATCAACATACCCAGCAGCCTACCAATGAACTCCTTTACATCTATCTCCCTCGACCCATCCAAATCAAATATACCAAAGAGCCGTCGTAACATCGGCGTATCCTCCTTCCCCAGGGCCTACTTCACCATAGTTACCAAAAGGCATTCTCAGGTGCTACCAACACCTCCCTAAACTCAGCATAGTCGATTCTCCCCGACCCATCTTTATCGATCTCCTGGAACTTATGGAAAATCTCCTTAATCCGCGACGGTTTCACACTAATTTCCGCCTCGCTTCCCTCTGTGAAAGCCGCTAGAATTTCACGCCGGGAATCTCTAGTAAGTCCCCCCACGAATCGAGCTGAGACCACAGCCATGCATGGCAACCTCCAAGCCGACCCCACCCTCCTTAACCCTCCTCCGCTCTGCTTCTACCGCCTCTGCTATCTCCATCTCAAATGCATCGTTGTAGCCGTATCTACCATCCTCATTTAAGGCCTACTAAACTCGATGATGGAATACAGCTCTCACGGAAGCACTCGAGTGTAAAAATTTTCACTGAGTAAAATCTCCAAGAGCAGTTCATTGAACAACTGAGAAGATTAACTCCAACCGATTCAGGAATTGCTATTTAAGAATTACCAAATCACCAGGCTATACTAATATAAGCACGGTGCTATTAGCTGGGCTTTAGGTGGTATATATACTTATACGCTTTACTTCGCATTATAATCTCCCAAGGGCATGCTTTGCCTAGTCCTCTCCTCCAACTCCACATTACGGAACACCAACGGCGGCTTCAAAAACAGCTCTGCAAACTCCCGGTAACTAATTGGAGTGAAATCATTTGACTTTCGGGCGAGCGCTAACGTAAGGCATTTCTCGCTCGCCCCAGCGCATAAACATTAGTGCGCGCCCTAAAATACCCGACTGGTACCTAACACGACCAGTGCCGTGATGATCGAGCATTCGGATCATCTCCTGTATCTCCTCACCAGTGACCGTCTCGCCTGATAGAGCCAAGATATGTCGTAACTGAGAGCGAACGATGCACTCTGATGTCTAGCCACAGACCTTCACGGAATTCTACCTATGGGGAAGAACAACGCTAGGGGAGACATTCGCCGGCAGATATAAAGCTTTTGTTGTTCGGTATTGAATCAACACTGAAATCTGCCAGTAGGCGCCCATGTGTCTCACATCAGATTCATCAAGGTAGCCTTTCCGATCCGCATCGATACTTCTGAAAGCCTCAGCCACCTAGGAAATCCAATCATGAACATTGTCATGTAACCAAACATGTCACTTGTTCGTTAGTATAGAGAGTCTCCTGTATTCCCGGTATGAAAAATGTGTCCAACTCGGGAGGCTCCTCAACGGGCTTATTACGCTGAGCAACATCCAAGCTCAACGGTCCGATACGACGGTTGGAAATCAGGGGAGTAAATTCGGAGAGTTTTTCACCTCTATAGCGCGTCCTTTCGGAATCGATAATTTTGGTACGACTTCGGAACTTTCTGAGAAGGTGAGCACCTCATGATCAGCAACCTCCACACTCTAAATCTACCTGCTGACTCCTTCCGGAAATCAGGTGGCCGATCTTTATCCCTCGCCAAACGTGATGGGAATTTGATCTGTCGCATAGTAGTTATCTCCGCGACAATATCGCGATAACAGAAACCACTGAGATGAAAGGATTCGAGCTACCATCCTCCATGATGGGACCAAGACGGCAGTTCACGGTCATCACGACCCAGCAGGTTCTGTAATTGAATTACCCACGGGAACCTTTCAAAAAAAGTCCATTTAAATATCCCACTCGTGGGTCTGGTAGGGTGGTTCGGTACGAACCGACCCTAGAAGTATCGATGAGGGAAAGACACTCAGAGACCCAGAGTCTGAGTAACACTCAGTGAGTGTGCCGACGACAGTGCGTGTCTGCACCCTTTTCGGTACTTGCTCCCGGGAGTGGTGGGATTGGGTTAAAATGCAGACGATCCTTCAGCCCGTGACCATGCTATGACATACGGAACGCGGGGAAGATACGCTCGCCTCACGGTTACATCTCTGCAGTGCGAATCGGTAGCGAAGCGTACCTAGGCATTCAACCTAGGTTAACATGATAACCTCTATCAAGCGAACGCATGAATTCTCTCCGCTTGCAATACTCTGATGGAAATTCGGAACAAAGTATTACATAAGGATAAGTGTACTTAATGACTATAGTACGATAGAGTTCGTAGTAGGCTACACTTGCCGTATACTCTAATACTTTCCGCGGTGAGCTTAAACGTAGTCGATTCTTCCAACCACCAAGCTACACTCGAACACAACAATGGAGTTCCATCACGAGCCATGCCCCTCCCTTTCGGGGTTTCGTCTTGCCATGCTTAATAGCTCGGCGATGCCTTTCATCGCAGCTCAGGGCGTTCCCTCTACCGTCAGACTAGATAGAAGTAGTGTGCTCGGATAGTGTCAATCAGCGGAACGAGAATTGAAGCTCCTCCCAGCTTTGATGCTCCGATAAGCGATATCGAACTGAATAGCACCACTTCAGTAGCTCTACCACTCCAAGAGCTACTCACCTTTCCTGGGGATGTCGGAGGAGAAGCACTAGGGGAATTCGATGCCCTCGAGGAACTCGTCGACGTGGGCCGCCGATGTTTACCCTCAACCTAAGGCAAGTTGCCTAAGACACGATAGACAGGACATTTCCATCACCTCCTCTTTCTCTGAGCCCCGCAGAGGGTATCGCGTCTCCAAGACGTATTTCAACTCCTCATTCTCCGCAGCAAGCCCTCGTTTGTGCTCCTCAGCATCCTCATGTTTCGCATTGAGCTCGTGTAGCGCTGATACCATCACTCGGTGAACAACATCTGTGAACCACTCGAGCCTTACAGCGCAGTATCTCCGGTATCGCCCCAATGCTCTTCTCCAACGCCTCAATTCGACTACTATGCTTATCACCCTCCTGTCCTACTCGAGCTGGCCTCATCCGAGGCGAGCGAGATTGCACCCTGAAGCTGATCAACGTCAACCAAAACAATCAGCAACTACTAACCTCTTCATTTCAAGTATCGTCTTATTCTTTTCGGCCACGAGGCTTTCCAAAGCGACCCTCTGCTCCACACCTGAGCAGAGAAGTATATTCAACAACCCCTAGAGGGTCCGGGCATCACTTCGTTGGAGCTCTGTCTCCAACTTCTTCTCCCTCTTCCTCGACTCACCCAGTAGCTTAGCCTGAACACCGCTTCAACAACAACATCAACTCCCGCACAATCATACTTGTGCCACAACACGCTCCTTCAGATTCTCTAAAGCCTTCTGCCTCTGCCCTATAGCAGCCTCCTTGTCTCTGTGCAGTTCCAGCACTGAACGCTCTCGATGCTGATAATGACAGGGGATGCTCGATACTCGTCGGGCAGGCACATCGCCAGGAGGGAAACGTCCTTCAGTTGGAATACACACGAGGCTAGACTCTATAGGATAAAGTATCCCCTCACCAGCTCCACTGAACTGGTTGGGTCTGCTCTAACCCGTGAAGAACATTTCCCTTCCTTCTGACACCTACTTTCCACTTCTCCCTGAATTTCTCCCAAAGCGCTTTCGTCTGAGTATCCCTCTCACGGAGTGCTCCCTCAACCTTCTCCCTTGCCGCAGCTGCCATCATATGAGCCTGAGGGCCAACACTGCTCTCTCCACTTAATCGACGTCCACCTCTTGTGTCTTCTTCAATTCCTTCTCTTTCCTCATCAAAACATCCGATACCTCATTGAGCTCCTTCTGAAGAACCTCCTTTTCTCTATGGCTCTCCTACACGCAATTTTCCCCAGCAATCACCAATAAGAACAACGCCTACTTTAAGCACCCTCTCCAGTTCATCTCGCTTACGACTGCATAGCTCTGTCACCGTCTTCAGCTTCCCCTCCAACCCTCTTCGTATATCCTGCTCTTCCAACAACGCCTGATGAGAGCATCCTTCACAAATAGTGACCAAGAACCCCAACACTGGTGGTGTATTTCGGATTTCCTACAACCCCGAATCTGTGATATCTGTGCGCCATGTATCACAGGAGAATGTTGCGCACATTGACACTCCAAGAGATTTCGTTATCAACAAAAATGTTTAAGATCTCCGATCGACCCACCTTTGTTTGTGTCTCTGTCTTGGCCGCCAGTTCGTCTGCCTTTCCCTGCAAATCTTGCAGTTCCCTCTCCACATCTTCCCTCCTCTTCTTCTCTGCCTCCCACTGCTCTCGGAGTGTATGTTGCCTCTTCAACGACGCCTCTTCACGTAACTGACGAAAGAAACCACGTCAACCCTCTGATAACATCGCTCTTCTCAAATTTCACGAAATCTCTGTCGGGTTGGCTTCATCGATTAACACACGATGCTATGCTGAGAAGGCGCCCCCAAAACTATATCAAAATCTGTCTAGCTATGAACAGGTCATGTTGGGCACCTCCATCCCACCTCCCATCTCTGCCTGACAACTCCCCATAGTCGCTGAGCTTTCGTCTCCTTCTCCCCAAGTGCTTCCTTCAACTTCCCTTGAATGACGACGGCATCTTGTTGAGCCTGTGGAAAGCTATCAAGGCCAAGGAGTAGCATGAAGTCAGGACCTTCCGAGCCTCTTCTAGATCTGTCTGTGCACTATGGAGAGCCTCCACCACTTCGGAGTGCTTCCGCTCGAGTTCCTGTCGAGACTCCTTCTGCTCCACTACTTCCTGACAAACACACATCGATAACACAACGGTTCCATTGTGAATACGCTGATATCACTTTTAAAGCGCTGTCCAGCTCAGATTGTTTTATCTTCAGGGAGTCTTCCAACTCCTTCAAGTCGTTCTCAATTTTCTCCCGCTCTTCCCTCTCTTTCTTCAATGCCTGACATCCGCTGAGATTAACGATTCAACCTAACTTTCCTACTCTGAAATATAAAAAAGTATGATCGATTTTCAAGCTATCATATGGAAGGATATAACAGAAACAATACACAGATTCTGAATCTACGAAAAGCTCATATGAATTTCTGTTTTCTCCATCTATTTTGTACCCTATCACAGCACGTGTTTTTCAAGAACAGCAATACCATCACAGTTAGACATACCTCTTGGAGATCCCCCGCTTCCATCAATTGACCTCGCAGACTGACACTCTTCCTCTTGATTCTCTCCATTTTAACGTCTTTTTCCCGCCCAACCTCTACCAGCTCGTCGTACTCAGCCTTGCCTACAATATGATACCTCCCTGCACCGTCTGGCGTCACTGCTCACTCTTATCCAATTCCTTGTTGAGAATCTTCACGCCCTTCTGTGCCTTCTTATAAGCCTCAACCTACACAACAAGAAGCGATATACTCAATTTGCTCTCCTCAGCTGAGCTCAGATGATTTCCCACATATTTTCACACGACTTGAGGTGAAAGGATATAAGAGGAAACAAGAGTACACCAAAATTCCCCCAGAATTTTCTTATTATCATTGACACATGTAGCCATCTATGTGCACATATCTCCACACCATCATCACGAAAGTAAAGAGTGTTATCAAAGACGGAAGACTCTCACCTGCTCCTGGAGCTCCTTCCTAATCTCATCTAGAGACGTCTGTAGTCGCTTATTGTCCTTATCTAACGCCGCCAGGGCTGCTTCACGTGCCTGACGGAGTGAACAACGGGAGATGTTATTCCAGTGGGGAGCTGTATATAGAAATTCTACAGACTATACTAGAAACACCACCTTGATGCCCCATACAGTACGAATACGCATTTATATATTCATTCTCATCGTGAAGATAGCACAAGTTGTGATTCATATGACGAGACGTAAGTACCCACCTGTAGCTCATTGGTGACGGTCTCACACCTATCCTGCAGCTCCTTCACAAGATTCGTTTCTGAAATAGAGTTGGATGTCCCGTGACAGTGGAGCTAGCCATGCCTCTAGGAATCCCCAAACCTTTTCTAGGGAGTAACTACTTCCACACGAAGTAATATATGATATACGCCTAATACTGCTAGTTATATAAACCCTGGGGGTAAGTCCAGGCTACCCCACTTACTCTCTCCAACCTCTCTTCTCAATACTTCCATTTCCCCACCGACATCAGCGTCGTGCTGCCGTACCTGATGAATTTCTATCCGGAATCGCTCAACTAGTTCACAACCCCACCTTATGATTCAACAACTCCGTTTCAATGCCCGCTTCTTCCAACGCGGTCTCCTTCTGTTTCAGCATCTCCTCCAACTGCCGTTCCCTCTCCTAAAGCCAGTCATGTACTCCTCACAACAAATGGCCTCCCTCACCCCTATACTCCCATCATCATCACGGCGACTATGACCTTGTGCCTCCTTCGCAGTAGCTTCATATCGCCTCGCACTCGCCCTCTCGTATTTCTCAATACGCTCATTGTGATATCTAAGAGTCATCTCAACCCCTTACAGTGTGAGCAGTACTACTACTACTACTACTACTACTACTACTACTACTACTACTACTACTACTACTACTACTACTACTACTACTACTACTACTACTACTACTACTACTACTACTACTACTACTACTGCTACTACTACTACTACTACTACTGCTACTACTACTCGTTTAGTTGCTCAGTGAGTTGGACTTGCTCTCGCAACTCTACATTCTCTTGCTTCAATATCTCTATTTCGGCCACTCTTTTGGAAAGAGTCTCCTTCAACAAGTCCCTTTCCTCGAAACCTGCCAACTTACACACTGAACAAGTTTGTGAAATTATCAACATGAAGCGTCACTGGAGTCTGCTGTCAAAGTTATGTTAGTTCGTGTCATGTGTTCCTAGTCTACGCACTATTCATACTTACTAATAAATAGATATCCATCCATAAAATATTATGATACTCATCATACGTAACCCTACATCTCTGCATTCATACTATTAATATATTCATTGTTATTATATTAGACAATCTCTCTCTCGCTCGCAGCCGCCATACGACCAGGCGACTCCAAAACCACCATGGAGATAATGATGGAGTTTATAAGGTTCAAAGTAGGGCGAAAAAATGAATAAATAGCGCCCCTTGATTCGAGAGCCCCTATCACTCACATGCCTTAGTCCTCTCCATCTCCTTATCGACGAGCCTAGCGATTTTCTCCCGTTCACAAGTCTGCATAAGAATAGCATTTCATCAGCACATGCCTCAACACCCCCTCACATCTGCATCCAAGTCGTCTAGAAGGCGTTTGTTTTCTTCCTTAAAATGATTCAACTCTGCCTTGTGGTCCTGTTCAAGCTGATCGATCGTCGCTTTCAAGGCCTAAGTCAAGAGCCGCGGCGGCCTCCACAACGAGAGATTATTCTTCTTACCACAATTTGTTCTTCTTGGTACTTGCTTTGAATGAAGTACTCATGTCGGGACCGCTCTAGCTGCTGGGCGTGCTTATCCGAGACGGCTCGCTGATGACAACAAATTGTAGAACCGAAAACGCCGAAGCGGGGAAATATACATATGATCAATTACATGTGTTGTTGTGAAGATAAAAATTCTGGTTTCTACACATTTATATCTGAATTCGTATGTAAACTTCTATAATTAGTGAGAAACATCAATGAAGAAAGCGAACATATATTTCAAACTGATGGCGAGCATTGGAAACAGCTCATATGGTTTCCCAGTGCATTTTCGTACACTATACCAAACTCACCAGCTCCGACTGTGTTTTCTCAACGAGTGCCGCATAGTCCTCGTTTTTCCTTGCCAATGCCGCAGTCAGTTGGACCTGTGCTTGGTGTTTCTCCTCTCCTATCGCTTCACTCATCCTTCTCTCTATATCTACCAACGATTATACCATCATGCATACGCGACGGATTTTTTCACCCAGTTCTAGAGAGTGCTTCTCAAAGTAAAGTTGGGCATGGTTTCGCTTCAACGCCGTTAGCTTCCTCACAACTTCCCTGTTCATACTATAGTCATTGCACAGTGGCTCTCTTCCTCACTTGTATTTATCGATGCTTATATACTTCGCCTTATAGTGCCAGTTAAGTCTCTGCTCCTCCATGATAAGGTCAGGAACCTCAAACAGCGGTGTGAGAAGATATGCACGTAGTCAACTACATGTGTATGTGACATTTGTGGAAATTTTGAGGATGGAAATTTAGAAATTTTCATTGGCTTCTCTACGCTTCTACCCGAATTTGCATGTAAACTTCTATAATTAGTGAGGAACCTTCTGTACTCAGCTGAGGAATACGATCATTCATTCCAACACTGTCGAACAGTGACTCCAACATTAGGAAACACTGAGGTCTACCTTCTCTGCTACTCCTTCTACCCCAACGGGTCGCATGACAGAAGCTCCTCCAGGAGATGGCTCATCGTTGGTGGCTTCCTCCATCGAAAAGCAACCACAACAACTATCAATATTCCCATGTTTATCGTGCTTATACCACTTGAGTCATCATAATAAACACAAGATTTACAGTATTCTGACTACCAAATCTAGCAGATTACCATTCCGACGACCGATAAAATGGTAGATTGAATCTACCACTTTATCGGTCGTCACTAAGTAACGGAATAGTCAGACGAATAAATCAGGGAGGTATGATCGAATGATGAGTATGAGCAACCGAAGCGATCGTGATTCCACATACGGTCGTTACTTACAGGATACGTCAGGGAATGATACAGTGCTGGGCAAAGCAATGAGAGCTCTCAGTTTGGAGCCTGTACCAGAGGGACTATATCCATATAGTAACTAACCTGCTATCACCCACACTATCTTCTATATGCGTTATTCATAACTCTCATCATAAACTATTATCAGCATATAGTTATTTGTTATTATGGATGACGCTCATCCCAATAATAACGCAACCTCGCCCCTTGCGTCTCGAACGAGCCGCGATAACGAGAAGTCCGAAAGGCTACCCTCAGGTCGGGACCTCAAATAATGCATTCGAACTTGCTGAATCTCAAGAGAAGGAAATTGATTCTGTCTATGCTTCGATAATTGTACTTTTCCTGTTCTCATAGGCTATTGCTATATTATTAGAGTTTTACGTGAAGTGGCGTCGTAAAACTCGGTGAAAAACCCTGAATTCGCGGTGTGCAGTGGTCGTAAAGTAGGTTTTTCACCAGTGTTTTTCACATCACTAGGGTGAAACTCCATTATCATCAGCATATCATAGCCCAGTCGAAGCTCAACCTCAGAGGTTCACTCTGTATCATGACAAGTGCACACCACATTGACAACTCAGTACAGCTCTCGTGAAATGATGGACACACAGTGAGTGTTCATATATTTTACTCAGCTGAAACAAGGGTTGCCTATAGGAAGTAGTCGGGTAGTTTGCGAACCGTGGTGGGATCCCCACGCCGTGGAGCTGGATCGAATTGCAGGAATGTATACCTGATACCAACCACCTATGGTACTGACCATACCAACACTAGCATCCTCCTCATAAGGCCGAGGGCGAGCCAACGTTAATCAGCATTCACGGCCAACCCCGCCCCCTCGCGAAACAGCCGTAGTTACTAACACAATGTATTCTGCCTCTTGCCTATATATAGCGCATTCACCAACACTCGAGATGAGCACTATCCGTTCTCTCCCACAAGTAGTCATAATCATGACCTCCTACTGAGCTCAGAAGTCCCCTTACTGCATATTGGAATTCACACACGACTTGAAAAAAAGGCAACTAATTTCCATATTGTTACCAACACACGCGGTTCACCAAGTGCACCTGCTGTTACTACTAGTACAGACCATATTACTTCATATTCTCATCAAGCTCCATCACAGCTGCCTGATTACCACACCTGTAAACCACAGTAGCAAGTACATCCATAACAGCCTACTACTACTCACCTGTAGCAATAGTTCGGTGCTGAGAATATCGTCACGACGTTTTTCTCGTGACTCCAATTATATCCCTCCATGATCAGCTGATGGGCTCTCGCGATCAGCTTGAGGCCGTTGTGATGATTGAACTGATCAACTACTATACGCGAGACGAAGTAACGAAGCTCAGATTCTTTGTAACGGTCGCGGGTTCGATAACCGGCAAGCGTTGTTTCTCTCGCAAATACACGGCATAGGCTGGCGTCAGAAGCAATTTCATATTTTTCGCAAGACGTATGACCCCCGAATGGTATGTGCCTCGAGAGTTCAAACGGTCTAGTCTTTGAGAAATGCAACGAGCGAACGCACAGGAAATGCACAAAGTATATGCTTCGCTCGCCGCCCCGCAACTATATTCAGCGGACTCTTCCCTATCCTATACCATAAAGCATCCAATTGATGAAATACTCACAGTACCATCACTGGTTGAGAATCGAACCAATAAACTACTTGTGCTGATATATCCTGTCCGAATGTGAACCCCGCGCCCCTCGGTGATATACCCCATCCGCCACGATCATCTGGATCCGACCATAGTAGGTCACACATAGGACCTATCACGACCATACATCCATCTTCCTCCTCCCCTACTACTACTACTACCTTCATGCGGTATCTCTTGGACTCTATCGATCTGCCTAACATCATCAAGAGTATCAATAGACGGTGATAAGCCGCCGTGCATCGAGAAAATAGAGTTCTCCACCAACGCAGTAAGAGGTAGGTAATCGAACAGCTAAGGACACGCCTATGCTCGGTGACCATCTCCATCTTACGTCAGTTAGCATCTTCCACACGTTCGCAGTATTGTATTTCCGCAAACACTCATCGTAGAAACCATACACTTGTGTGATCTGCCGAGATTCATGATTACCACGAAGGATTGTGATTCGATCGGGATATCTAACCTTCAAGAAAACAAGATACAAACCAGGTCCACATAAGGTCCACCCCTCACTTTATAAGCCAGCAAGAGGCTCACAACCTCCACACTGAAATATCCTCTATCAACATAGTCACCAAGGAAGAGGTAATTCGTATCAGGAGGGACTACACCAAGTGAGTGACTCAAATCTATCTAACGCATAGTACATCCCCCAATTCTGAACATCTCCTGTAGGTCGTGGAATTGACCATGGATGTCACCAACGACCGTGACAGGACATCTCACTGGCTTCACATTATCCTCTTCTTGTAGTATCTCCCTCGCTCGTGCCACCAGACCTATAACACATGATCAACCACCATCGCAGAGTGGACAGTCTCTACCTACCAGCAAGTTCCTCCTCTCCAAGGGCTTGGCAATCCTGAAGGCTCGCTATGTACCTATTGGTGACACCACTCTACTGTGTCACCACGACTACCACCCCGACTACCTATCAAGATCAGCTCTACCAGGCAGCGGAGGACCGCCTGTCGAGGACTCGCTTCTTGGAGAGGCGACTGTTGTTGCCTCAAGCGTGGACCCACCACCAGCACGACCACTACTATACATTGCAACAAAAACTGAGCTACCCCACCCTACTTGAGCTGTTCATCTAACACAAGACGATTATAACCGCTAGATTATCTTTCTTTTACCATGCACTACTAGAGTAAATTATTGGCAATAGAACAGCATAATCATCGTCATCAAAGCCGCCATAAGTGATAGATATCCCACAGATCAACAGAGAGGACGATAGTTTTCGACGATAAATGGTGCTAAAAGGACCTTCACCAGGATTTGAACCCGGAATCATGCACGACCCAGCACAATTGTTCAATAGAAGAGGACCTATGATAGATCCTAGGACCTCCACGAAGATCGACGCCGCTTCCTCCAACTAGGCGGAGCGAAGCAGCAATAATTTCAGAAATTATAATAACCACTGACTACGACTACCTTCCACAACTACCTTCGTGAATAGGCAGTCAGGGTCAATAAAACGTTATAGTAAATTTATAAAAAAGCAAGTACTAATCATCGTCGAAAACATACCATCACGACGACATGCATCATCGTTCAGAAGCAACAACAACGACGACCGCGACCAACTTGCTGACTACATTTTTTAGTTTTGCTTCTCACACAACTATAAATGTGCAGTAACTGTGCAAACTTCCATAATCATGATAATAGGCTTTAGGAGCGATTCACAAAGTCAGCACTTTATATAGCAGCAATAATAACAGCAATCGTAAACGTCACGCGCCGCAAAAATCCGAGAAATAAATCCCTCAGAAAATGCAGCAGAGGGTGTCCATACCAAGATAGCTTTACATATACTAGCCCAGTCATATCCTCATAAATTAAATCACACGGATGATAGAGTCGCCATGCTAGCGGAGCGAAGCTAGTGGTCCACAATCTGACATACTATACACTATCAATAAGGACCTACTCTATATACTTACCAACAACTCCTTGCTTCCATTGAAGGTAGCGGTGCGCCTTGCTCGGGGAACAACGTGCTGGTGGGATCAGCATCAACAGAATCTTCCTCAGAGCCTACCATAGCCACACTTAGTCGTGAACAACGTATTAGCCCTCTTACCTGTGATCTCCTGCTCCTGCTGCTGTTGGTCATCATCCTCAGACGCCATTCTAAGCCTCTTAGGCTCCGGTGCCTCAGTAGCAGCTCGATTCGCCAGACATATGGCCTTAATAGAACTAGTCTCCACTTGGACACGCCATTCGGGCTTGTTGTTGAACTCCTTGCTTCGAACAGCCAGACCGAATTTCTGGGCCTGACCTCATACGAGTTGGAATTGGTGTGGTATGATAAGCACGTACGAGTTGATTCATGATATTCATGACGGGTTTCTGTTGCATATCCAGCAAGGCCCGGCCAGCGGCAGTTTGTAGAGTAGCCCGCTGCATCGCTCCAGCAGGCGCCCTAGTGCCTTTGCCACGGTGCTTGGCCAAAGCATCCTGAGGTTCAACATGCA